TTAAACATTGTGTGAAGCATATATAAAATTGTGTATATATAAAATATAAAATTGTATATCAAAATAATGCCCTTCAGGGCCAATATGCTTCGTTGTTGTGTTTTTAAAGGTTTTAAATTGTATATTTGTAAGCCGCTCAGAGTCTTTGGAGTGGGCGACTGTAACAAATCTAAACAAGAACAATAATGGATGTGACAGAGAAATCGAGATAGGAAGCAGGCGCACTGGTGCTTCGTTCCGCCGCTCCCCGCAAGGAGAGGCAGCAGCCGCGAGAACACCCTCCCCAACCTCCGCCGTCCACGCCGTCCACCCCTCCCCCGTTCGGGATGAGCAGCCTCTTGAAGTTGCTGCTTACGTATTAAAACACAAATCGTTCACTGGCCGACGTTGGCGACGCCCTTTTCCTACGTAGCAAGCTCTAGAAAACGCAGAAACTGGTCCTAACGTAGCAATTATGTCCTTCGCTGCCTGCCTTAGGCCGCCGGTCGCGCATGTCCGTTGTCTCGGGGAGGGAAAAAGCGCCGAGCGGCGGTAGTCCGTGTCCCCTGGTTGGCTGACGTCGGTGGCTGCATGGCGTTTATGTGCCAGCGGGACAGCTGGGTCCAGCAGGTGCGGAGGGACGCGGGCAAGCGAAGGCTCTGGGTTTGTGCTCATTGCCGCTGTTCGAGGCGCATCAGTGTATATGGAAGGAGTTTGCAGTTTTTCTCTTCATCCGTTTGAGCTGGAAAAGGGCTCTTGGCATAATCTTTCCAGTCTCCAAAACTGCAAAGTGGCTTTACCCAACATTGGAAGGACTATGCCTAACACCCCTTCGCTAGCGCAAATTGAGATGAATAATTGCAGGTCCCTCCCACTAGGTTTTTCTGTCTCCAACAGATGCGGACTGTTAGAAACCTGCAGGGCTATCTGGGCCCAGGACAGCCCATTATTCCTGCTAAATGAAGGAACAGTCCTATAAACCGCTGACGATTCTTAGGTAGGCCTGGTTTCCTCCCCAAGCAATTGTCATTCGATGTGTTCCTTATTGCAGTTTATTCTAGTGCAACTAATAGGACAATGTAATGTAATACAGTATATATTTAATTACTTGCATAATACAGTATGCCGATATAAAAATCAGTTGCTTAGGCATTGTATGTCAGTAGGAAAACCCAGCAAAGCAGAAGGGAAGAGAGGTTTGAATGCCCTTTGCCCGCAAAGAACCTGTCTATGAGTACATTGTGACTCGCTGTAATTATAAGAGAGTGCCTCAAGAGGCCGCATCTATATTCTTTGGTCTCATTTTGATATTTCTATTCTGCCAAGCATTTAGGATGCAACTGGAAGTGAGTTTGAACATCTTAAAAAAAAAAAAAAAACTACTATAATTTATATACTAAAATAGCTTTATTGTGTCTTAAGAAGCCTGATAAACATGGTACAGAATTAAAATGTGGTACAGAAATATAGAAATAAATAAAATAGAAGCTTGGGATAGAAGTTGCATTATTTGCTGAATGTAATAATTGCAATAAAATGCATGCACTTCCCCCAAGGAATTTACAGAGAAGAAGGCTGTTGTTAAATGAGATGTAACATGTAGTTTTTCTCATTGTTCAGCATTCTTGGTTTGCACATAATATGTTTGGGGGTTACCTCTTTGATCACAACTTTCTGTGTGATGATTGCCTCCACACCTTTATCAAAGCTAAAGATCCTTTCCTTTCCCTCTTCAGTTTACCACCCAGGTGGTCTCCTGCTGTCCTGCAGAATTATCTACAGAAATTGGTGGAAAGAAGAAAATTTTGCAAGGTTTCCATGTCATTCTGGAAGACACTATTCTTTTCCCAGAGGGTGGAGGGCAGGTATTAATAATTGTCCTTAATCAGGCTATTTTAGAGATGTAAATTATTGTATATTTCTTAATATGTTGTTTGGAATTAACTATTGCTTTCCATTTTTAAAACCAAAAATTTAATTGCTCAATATACTTGTTAGGAATACATGACTTTCTGTTTACTTTTAAATCTATGTTTTATTTAGGTATTTGATGAGATAATTCAAGAATAAGTTCTACTGAATATATTTTAATGAAAATAGATATGTATAGGATTGTACTAAAATGTGTTACATATTTTGAAAGTTCTGGAGTGGCAGTGTGATTCTGCCTAAAAACCTGCTGTATGAGATTCATGATGATTGAAACTTTTACTTGAGCTAATTAATAATATAAAAATGATTGAGCGATGCCCCTATTTAGGCAATCATGCATGGTCCTTCTTGCATTAATAACATTTATTTTGGGATATCTATGGAAAGGATGGCATTTATCAATATATCTTTTTCCTGGGGCCTTCCCACAAGTAAAATATTTGTGAATTAAGTTATACATCTTCTTGAGGGTGTTTTTCCCCAAAAGCTGGGGTTGTAATTTTAAATTTCTTCTCTCCAGCCTGATGACCGGGGACTTATTAATGACATCCCCGTTCTCAGAGTCACCCGACAAGGCCCAGATGCTTTACACTTCATCCAGACACCACTTGAGCCAGGAACTAAAGTACGGCTGCTGCTGGACTGGGACCGGCGGTTTGACCATATGCAGCAGCATTCAGGTGAAGAATTGATGCATGTGATATCCATCAATTTGGGTGATGTAACACAGAACACTTTAAAAAACAACAACAACCCTAATAGGGAGGAGAACAAGCTGATGAATCATTGTCTATTTTAGGACAACATCTCATCACAGCACTTGCAGACCTGATGTTTGGATACAAGACAACATCATGGTAAGCGGGATGCAACACTGCCTGCTCCTTTTCTTCCTTGCTTGTGTGTTCTAAAAACTGGAATGGAGCAGGTAAGTTGCAAAATCTCTAGAAATTTAAGGCCTTCAGGCAATGCTGACAAAAAGTCTGTAATATAGTTCACCACTGGGTATTTATTAACAATAGCCTCAGGTGAAAAGCACAGATAATCATGTGGTTCATTAAAAAATAAAAATCCACAATTGGCAGTACTTTAATTAGGACAAATCAAAATGCACAAAAGTGTGGCCATGCTTTTGAGTCATTGGAACTCTTCTTCAGACTAGATGGTCCCAAAATTAGGGAATGGAGAAGAAGTGTTAAATTAAGGGTTGCGGCCATGAGGGTTGCAGCTTAGAGTAAATTTTAAGATTAAGTTTACAGACTTGGATATGTTGGTACATGATTCAGGCATCATTTTATCATTAGGATTCTGAGACAATAAAGCTATAGCTGGGCTCCTAGTTTGGCAACACAAAAAAGTCACCTGCCTCTTTTTGCTTTCTTTGGTGAAATGCCTGACACAGCAGATTCTGAAGCTAAAGAAATATAATGTTCTATTACCTGAAAATAATTTTTTTTTACATTTTGAGGATTTTTACCCCCACTTAGCGAGGTAATTTGAATTCAGCTGACTTTTTCCCCAGTATGTAAATTGATGTATTCAGTCTGCAATATCCCTCTCAAGACTGATTATAAGTTGCAGATCTCATGGCCACAACTTTTGGCTTGATTTTTAGATTTTTTCCCAGATTTTTGTACCATGTAGCCTGCTAAGGAGTTTTAGAGAACTATAAACTTGCATGTGGTGTTATTTTAGCTATTTCTAGTTAATGAATTAGGTTTAGAAAGCCACATTATTCTTTTTTTTAAGTTATACACAACAAAGCAAAACAAAACAGAAAACAGCTACAAAAATATCTTTTCAACATTTCCTGAAGCCATTGGGAAGAACAGAATATCATCATACTTTCAGTCTTAAAAATACAAGGTAGTTTTTGAAGAAAAGGAAGAAAAATCTTTGTCTCCACAAACTTTGAGAATGTTTGACACCATGTTTTCTTGTTAAGCTAGAAATAAAAATACATCAACAAATCTAGCGCTTATTAAATATGATTAATAAAGAATATTTTGCTTTCATCTTAAATCAGAAATCAGTATAAAAAAATTAGCAACTGTGAGCCATAATGAAATTGAAGAGTCTGACAAGATATGAATCTTGGTGATATCCACCAATTTAGATATAAAAAGGGACTAGAACAATTAATGGAGGGTAGATATATCAGTGCTATTAATTTTGATTGCAGTATATTACCTTCAGAATTATAGGGGTTATGACTATTGTTAAGGAGCAGTAGTGGAGCAAGGCTGTGTGTTTGCTTCCAAGATGCATGATAACTGAGACCTGGGTGGACCCAGGTGATGGTGAGGAGAGGTTCTCTTCTCAGAGATATGCCCACTTGGGTTTTGGGTTTGGTATCAGCTTCTACCCAGCAGTGGGTGGGGGTTAGGGTGGCAGTTGTTATTTGGGAAGCCTTGATGGCTTTCAGAGACTTTGCACTGCATGTGCACAGATGTGAAACCTTGGGATTGAAATTGGATTCTAGGGAACAAGTTGAGTTTGCTGCTGCACAAGCCTCTCTGTTGTGCAACCTGAGTTGCTTGATTTTGTTGCCAGGTTGGCAATGGAATCTCCAAGACTGATGGTTCTAGGTGATTTTAACCTGCCCCCAGATGGCATTCAGTCGGGCAGCTCAGGAATTCAAGGTAGCCATGGATCTGACCCAAATCATCAAGGGCCTATCTGGTTTTTGTCTTGGGCAGTTAAGATATCATCTGAGGATGGAGGACATTACCATCAGTCCTTTGCCATGTTAGATCACTCTGCTTTTCAGCTTCTTGGTTCTCCCCCTCCCTGCAGGAAGGTAGGACCTATTAGATCTGTCTGCCCCAGGCACGTGATGGACCCAAATTGGTTTCCAAGGGAGCTTGGAATTTTTACCAAGGACATGGTGGGCTGTTAGCCTGAGGCCTTCAGGTAGAGGTGTGTCTACCTGAAGTGGGCAAGTAACAAGGGTTTTAGATTGGATTGTTCCTATGCACCCTCTTGCTGTATGTTGACCCTAGAGACTCCTTGCTTTTCACCAGGAAATGAATAATCAGCAGAGATGCCTATTTCACCTTTGGAGGAAGATAAAGAATGAACCCAACCAAGCATATTAAGACCTCATATTAGGGATTACATTGTGGTGATAAGAGCGGCAAAATATGCTTATTTCTCCATTCTTACTATGTCTAAGGATCGCTATCCAGAGGTCTTTTTTCACATGACTTGTTCCTTGCTGGGAAAGGACAAGTCCCAGGATTATTTCTTTGGCTGCTGTGAAGAATATGCACTTTGGAGATAAAGTTGTGTGGATTTGGGCTGTGACTGGCTGGGCTGATTGCAGTAACAGGCATGCCCTTGCTTTGTTAGCTGGGAAGAGTTTGATCTAGTTACTCCTGAGGAAGTGGACAGGATCCTCAGGACTGTTAATCTGTCTACCTGTTTATTAGATTCTTGTCCCCCCTGGGTGGTGATATATGGTTGAATTCATGCATTGGTGTCTGCATTCTTGAGTGAAGGGGTGGTTTTGTTGGCCTTAAATAGATAGTGGTGTGTCCTCTTCTTAAGAGACCATTGCTAGACCCAACCATCCCAAACAATTTATGTCTGATTGCCAACTTCCCCTTTTTGGGAAAAATTGTTGAGAAAGTAGTTGGGCTGCAACTACAGAGGCCCTGGAAGAAAGAGATAATCTGGACCTTCTTAGTTGGGATTTAGAACAGTGCATAGTACTGAGAAAACATTGATCATGCTTGTTGATGACCTGTGGTGGAGCTCAGACAAAGGTAGTGCAACCATCATGGCCTCCTTGATCTCAGTGGCTTTTGATATTGATCATGGTATCCTTCTAGGCTGGCTGCAGGGACTAAGGGTGGGAGGCATTGTGTTATTGTGGTTCTCCTCATTTCTCTGTGTCCGGGTCCACTCAGTGTTGGTAGGGGAATGAGAGGTCAAGTCTAAAGGTCCTGATTTGTGGGATGCCACAGGGTTTGACACTCCCATCCCTCTTGTTTAATATTTACATGAGACCACTGAGAGAGGTTAACTGTGGTTTTGTACATCTGGACTCCTGGCCAGCCAAGCAGTGCTGTCAAAGTCTTGTTCTAATGCCTGGAGGCTGTGGGAATCTGGATGGGGGGGAATAGGGTCAAGCTCAACCCTAGCAAGACCAAGTGACTGTAGGTTCTTAGACTACCCAATTCTGGGGATCTTTCATCTCTGGTTCTGAATGGAATTGCACTGCCCCATTCAGGACTGGAGCATAATCTGGGGGTCTTCTTGGAATCTCAGGTCCTGCTGGAAGAACAAATGGCAGGTGTGGTCAGGAAGGCCTTTGTGCAGATTTGGTTTGTGTGCAGTTGCACTTGTTCCTGGACTGGAAGGCCCTCTCTGTAGTCACCCATGCCTTGGTCACCTCGCAAATAGACTATTGCAATGTGCTGTACTTGCCCTCAAAGTCCACTTAGAAGCTATATCTGTTCCAGTGCTAGGCAAATATTGCTATGCCCATGTAACTCCTATGCTCTGTGAGCTGCAGTGATTACCAGTAAGCTTCTGTGTTCAATTCAAGGTGCTGGTTGTCATAGTTAAAGTCTTACATGTCATAGAGCCTAGTTATCTGAGGGACCATCTGTCAGCTATAGTGTCTGCATGTCTCATAGGATCCAACAGAATTGGTTTGCTTTGGGTCATGTCAATCAAGCAGTGTCATCAAGCAATACCCAAGAAACCACCCTTCTCTGTTGTTCCACCTGCCTTCTGGAACAGCATCCTGCAGCCTACAGATATTCATATAACCCCCCTCCCCCTCCTTAAACAAGCCTTAAAAACCTAGCTTTTCTCCCAGGCCTTGGGTTAATGTGTGGCTGTCCCCCTTTAAGTCATTAATGGGGTAAATGTTTTTGGCTTTGTTCCCTCCAGGCTACTATTGTTCTTTTTATTTGATATTATTTTTACCTGTTTTTTTTTCATTGAGAAGCTGCCCAGAGTTGTTCTGGAATTAGACAACCTAGAACTTCAATGAATGAATGAATGAATGTTGATACAGAATGGACTGCTGAATGAGACTAAAGGCTAATTTCACCACAATTCAGATATGCACAAGGGTTCATAAGATAAGTTATTGCCGCCTTCATTTAATCCCAGATTAATTCTTAATCAAAAGAAGATCATGGAGTGGCCAAGAAGCCTCTTTGTGGACCTACATTTTCTCCCTAACAGCTGAAAAGAATATATCATATTGCCTTTCTCCTACCCATTGTAGGGAGCTGGGCCGTCAGCGAAGCACTATTGAGCTAGACACCTCTTCAGTGACAATAGATCAGGTGGCAGCCCTTGAGCAGAGTGTGAATGAAAAAATTCGAGCCCATATCCCTGTGATGGTACGAGAGTTTGCTGTGGGTGATCCTGAAGTTGAGATGGTGAGTTTGGGCTGCAGTAGAGGAATGAGGAACTACTGTGTATTCTTCTCTAACCAGATACTGTATTACAGGTAAGGAGCCGTGGCTTGCCAGATGACCACACTGGGCCAGTTCGGATAATAAACATTGAAGGTATTGATGCCAACATGTGTTGTGGCACACATGTCTCCAATCTCAGTGACCTGCAGGTGAGGCCCTACCTTCAAGGGTTTTATAGGTTGAATTCCCTCAGATGTGAGTCTCAGGCTGTCCTGCAGTCTGCCTCTGTGTCTCGTGTAAGCACAAAAATTGCCTCTTTGTGCTTGTAAAATCTTCTAATCTGAGTCAATGTGTGTTTGTTCTAAAGGTCATTAAGCTCTTGGGTACAGAAAAGGGGAAAAAGAACAAAACCAACTTAGTTTTCCTTGCTGGTAATCGGGTGCTGAAAAGTCTGGATCGAAGCCATGCCACTGAAAAGGCCATGACATCGCTGCTGAAGCAAGTATTTTTCTTTCTGTATACCACAGAGGGGTACCTCTGTATATAATCGCAGAGAAACTATTTCAAACTTATTGGCCTGAGGATTCCATGTAAGCAGTAGAAAGAAAAGCAACTCAACTTTGAGATTTTTCTCAAGTCAAGAATTAATGGCACATAGGCTAATTATTTACCTAAGTGGAAAAGATAATTTATTTCAGTATATTTAAGGTTCATGATAAGTAATGTAAGCCTTTCAACAATTGCACCTTAAGCTGAAAAAAATTCTATTCCCAAATCATACAGCAATTTCTATTACCATTTAATTCTGCATCCTCTGTTAACACAAGCTGCTTCTCTCACATTTCTCCACAAAGCTTACCCTCAATAAGAGACTATACAGTCCTTCCTGAGGGCTCTTGGTTGCCTTTGTCATTTTAGGAATGGTCCTGAAGAGCACGTGGAAGCCGTGAAAAGGCTGCAGAGCTCTTTGAAGCTACTTCAGAAGGTATGTTTGTGTCACTTCATTTTCTGCCATGGAAAGTTTAGAGCCTGGCTTTACAGTAGCTGCAGCAAAATGCACCATCAATTTTCTGTTAAGATAAGACTCTGATAAGCAGTTTTTAGAAAGGCATGTTTAGTAATGGAATACGGAAACCAAGGTTGGGGAAGATGAGTCAGTCAGGAATAGTAGAGTAGATGACTGTGAGTGCCAATAATGTTCAGGATGAATCTGGTTCATCTGGAAGGACTGTGGTGTCCAGCCTCTAGAAGGATCAGATTGAGAGCCTTGAGGCAGATTGTACCTACTTGTCTTTCAAGACCAGTCAAGGTCTGGCATCCCAGCATACCATGAAGTTTCATGGGATCTAGAATCCAATGGGTAGAATACAGCATGATCGTGGAGAAACTCAGTAACATTTATTGCCTCCTTGCCCTGCTTTGAAAAACAGACTTACCTTGTTCAGAATTCCCTGCTCAATCACTTCCTCAGTCACTTAATCTTCACTGACTATAGGAATGGATTGAGCATAATCCACAATCTACTTCTTTTTCCAGAACAACGTGAATCTGCTAAGAGATTTAGCTGTTCTTACAGCACAGAACTTCAAAAGCATCTCAGCTCAGCAACCAGTGTTTGTCTTACACAGGTGAGGGAAAATACTCTTCATGTTTCAAGTTTGGCTAGTATGGCAGATCATCATGAGAAAATCTATTTATGTGGTTGTTAAGAGTCGACACTGACTTGATAATCAGTATGGCGGAAACAACAAATGCCTGAGATAAGGGGAAATTCAAGATAATTGAAGTTATCTTCCTCCCCCATACACCCATGCACACAAAATGATACTTAATTTTATCAACAGGAACATTTTAATGTCTGGGAACTGTTCCGTTTTTCCCTTTATAATAAATACTTGGAAGGCCACCCAAGTAAAAGGTGTGTTATATTTTAAATCTCTAAAAAGCTGAAATTATTTCTAATTAAATTACCAAGTCAATCCAGGCACTGATTGTTTCCTCTTTGTGGGGCTGATAGTCCTGTTACAGAGAGTGGTATGAGAGTGCAATTTTGGACTTAATTTCTTATAAAAAATTAACAATAGGAAAGAAGCTTGTTAGAGGATCATGGAGCATCTTTCTCCTCTCTACAGGAAAGATGGTGATTCTGAGTTCATGAATATAATTGCAAATGAAATTGGCTCTGGGGTGAGTCTTTTCTTGTTTCTGTGAACTTTTATCTGAGATGAAAACTTGCTGAAGATTTCATATTTTAAATTTAAAGGAAATTCCTGTTTCTGATACAGGTAGTTCTCATTCAATGACCATTTGTTCAGTGACCGTTCAAAGTTACAACAGTGGTGAACAAGGGGACTTATGATTGTTCTTCATAATTGCAACCATCACAGCATCCCACTGTCACGTGATCACCATTTGTGACCTTCACCGCTGGCTTCTGACAAGCAAAGTCAATGGGGAAGCCAGCAGGAAGTCACAAATGGTGATCACGTGACCACGGGACACTGCAACTGCATGGGGTTCATCTAACAATGGCAACTGGAACTGCCACAACTGCTGTTGTAAGTCAGTGTGGTCACGTAATGTTGCGCTTTATGTCCATGATGCTTAGCGATGGAGTTGCTAGTCCTAATTACCCTAGTTAAGTGATTACTACCTGTATATCAGTTTTCTTATTATAAATAGACTGATAGGCATTTGACATCTTTACTGTGGGCTTTAGAACATACGGCTTCAAATCAGTGTGTAATTAAAAGTGAGGCAATTGATTACAGAAGCTACAATTTAAGGCTTAATATGGAATAAGAAATGAACATATTTAAATCTGTTCATTTCTTA